TGAAAGAGTGGTTAAACATTGGAACAGCCTGTCCAGGGAAGTGGTTGAGTCACCATCCCTGGAAGCATTTAAAAGACGTGTAGATGTGGCGCTTAGGGACATGGTTTAGTGGGCATGGTGGTGTTGGGTCGATGGTTGGACTCGATCTTAGAGGTCTTTTCCAACCTTAATGATTCTATGATTCTATGATTCTGTGATTCTAATGTGCGTGTTCTGCATGCATTAACTTTCTGTGTAGTTCTTACGACAATATCCTATCAGTATAAAAACTTTGACAAATGACAAGTGTAAATGTTTAATGATGGCATAAATTGAAACCTTCTGTGCAATTTATTCATTCTGGCTACTGATTTTAAAATTTAATGTTGTATTAAATTTGGTGAAAATCTATTGTTTATACTCAAATTAATTGCACATAATGTTCAGTGTGGAGAAAAATAGTACAGTACTTCCACTGAGATGTTTAGAATCCTGGCTCCTCTAGGGTAGACAGGCTCTTGACTACTCCTTTATTATTAAATTCTTCAATTCACATTTAGCTTCTGTGCGATTGATAAATAAGTAGGGAAGATGGTAGTCCACTCTGCAACCCAAAACAAACCACCTCACCACATCTTCTGACCACATCTTTCCCTTTCTCATTCTTTAGCTCAAAAGGTCCTTTCAGCAAAGTTCGAACTGGCCCTGGTCGGGGTCGGAAGCGTAAGATCGCTCTGTCCAGCCAGTCAGCATCATCAGAAGGAGGATACCTGGAGCAGACAGATGTCTTGGACTTCTGCAGAGATGGCAGCACCACCTTGAAGTTTAACAAGAAAACCAAAGGGCTTATAGACGGCCTTACTAAATTCTTCACTCCCTCCCCTGATGGACGAAAAGCTCGAGGGGAAGTGGTAGACTATTCTCAGCAGTATAGGATCAGGAAAAAGGGTACCAGGAAATCTAGCACTTCAGAATGGCCCACAGGTAAAGATTTTTCACCCTGCCAATGTAAGTATCCTGTACACCAAGAAAATGTTCAAAGGCTAGGATGTTGAAGAGACTAGAATTGTTAGAGGCTGGAAACTTTAAGCTGAAAGTTAACACTCAAATGCAGTTATCTTTGGTGCATTGAGGTAGAATACCTGTTGGAAAAAGGAAGCTATCCTAGAGACCTTTGCCTCTTTATAGATGATGGCAAGGTGTGATGAGGGATTAAATGATTACTGTGAGGTAAAATGCCGTTTGGTAATGAGGGGATTGCAGATAGCCCTAGGAAATGTGCTAAATAATGTCACATTTGAAAGAAGTAATGTAGGGAGTGGTTAATGAAAATAAGAACAGCAAGGTAGAAGTATGAAATGGGAAACAGATAATTAAAACCAGTCTGACAGACTCATGAGTTTCCAATCTATGGTATAGACTTGCATGCAAATGTTTCTTAATTTTCTCAGCCATAGAGGAGCCTGCTTCGTGCAGTTTGGCACCTTCTTGCTGGAGAGCATCCCTTCTTTTGAACGCAGTTCTGCTTTCCTTGTTTTCTTTTCTAGCTTAAGACATTAATCTATGTCTGGACCTTGATTTAATCTCTGTATTCAGATCTTTACAGTCTTGTTGAATAGTTTCATAGCTTGAATTGTTCCTAAGCAAGCAGTGGAAAATATTCCACAATAACATACAAGGTTTACAGCTTTAGAATAGCTACGTGCATTAGCCTGGCTGGTGCTGGAAGAACAATAATGTATCTTAATGCTTTGGGGGTGAGGTGAAGTGTCTTGTGGGTTTTGTTTGCTTTTTTTTGTGGAAGGGGTGTTTCTTGGGTGATGAACGTAAGTGTCCTGGTTTTGGTTGCACCAGATACGGCATTTAAATAGTTGTGATCCTTGTTTGTGAGAAATGGGCATAGTGGTGAGACATTTATCCAAAACTGTATCATTGTTACACATGCCTTCATGATACTATGAATATCTAAGTGGTGAGTTTCGGGCCTGGTTAAATATATGACAATACTTCTTACACGGTCGCAAATCCAGAACTGGTTCTTCCTTTGTGGTCCCAAATCTGAATAGAAAATCCCATCAAAAAAACTTGGCACAGTGTCTGAATACAGCCAGATGATGTTTGTCGCTGCACTATAAAGCAAGTACTCCTTTGTAAATGTGCGTGAAGACAATTTTCTCTGTCATTTACAGACAATCAGGATGGCTGGGATGGAAAACAGGAAAATGAGGAGCGTTTTTTTGGGAGCCAGGATATCTTAACTGAAAAAGACATGGAGTTGTTTAGAGATATTCAGGAACAAGCACTGCAGGTAAAGTTAAATTTTCAGTGTCTGGCAGTAAGTACCAAGTCTGTAAAAGAAATTTAAACAAACCCAAAAACCCCACCCCAACCCAACAACAAGAAATACAGACTCCAGATGAGTCAGTCTGTCACAGAAGCTAACTGTGGTTGGTTTCTGCTGCTTGAGAGTAATGGGGAACTGACCTCAAGAGAGCTGAAGGATAATACAAAAGTGAGCATCAGAGCGTAAGAGGTTAAGGTGGGCATTTAAAAAGCCTTGAGGGCTGTGGCTTTAGTTGTATCAGAACATAGAGCTGTTAAATAGCTGGTAAAACGTGTGGACTGTTAATAAAATATGGGACTCTGCTAGCGGCATGGGTCACACAGGGCCTCTGGCTAATTAAAACATTCTTTATCTAGATAGTTTAACTCCTTATGGAACAGGATAGGGCATTACTGTGTGTGTGTCTATGTGCACATATATATGTGCATACACACGTGTGTAGTGGGGGGTGTGTGTGTGTATATCTCTCTACCTGTATGTTTCAATAACTTGAATGTCTTATGACCTAACTCCTTCTGAAGCCAAAGGGGTCAGTTGAATTTATGCAGTGACTTCCCTGAACAGTGCTTCACTAAGTATAACTGTCCTTTTAAACTTCTCCAGGTATTTGACTTCTGTTTATTTACCTATGATTCTGTCATTGGCTGGTTTAATTCCACTATACTAAATATAGTCTCTGAACCAAAAGAGTTAATGAACAATGAATTGTGGTAAGACTGAACTACACTATGTGTGTGATAAAGCAGACTAAGATGCAGTGCAGTTAACCCTTTTATTGAGGTGCAAATACAACGCTACTGTATAACACTGCTTATTTCAAACTTTTTGTTACAGGATCGATTTTAAAAAAACCCAGCATGTGCATTATTGAGCAAATCGCACATGAGACTACAGCCTGTGACCATAATTATGTTTTAGAAAAATAACTGAAGATCTGAAATTAAATCTACGGAAATATACCCAGAATAGAGAAAATATTAATCTCCAAACATCTGCTTAGAAAAAGGAGCAAGTTTTGGAGAGATTCCACCACCACCGTGTGGGGAAAATACTTGTAGATTAAATACTTTAAGGTGACTAGTTGGTTGGTTTTGGTGAGGAAAGGGTTGACCAGAGTTGTTATGCAGCTGATGCAGGGACCTTGTACGTGTACACTGAGCTAACTGCCTCACCAAAGAAAATGGAAATAGGGAGTGACGTATCAAAGGCTTTTGAGTGAGCTGAGGAAAAGATACTGCGTATTAAATGTTCAAGAAGAAAGTCATTCAGAGCTATCTGTAGCTAGCACAGAGGCTGAAGCAGTAGTCTGGTATTGAAGGCTTTCTTCTAATCACTGTGATGTGTAAACGGTTATGTGGGAGCTGGGTCTCCACATTTGTGTTGGCCGTTCATTTGGAGGAGGTGTTTGTTGCTGAAAAGAAGGCACAGGTGCAGGACTTTGTTGCAGATGCATGTTACTGTTTTCCTTAAGACTTGTCAGATGCATCTGATAATTGTGTTTGTTACTGACCTATTGTACTGGGCAATAATAGCGATTGCTTTGAAACTACAGTGCAGGAAGTGCTTAACGATAGACTATCGTAGCTGTAAAGAGCTGCCTTCATAAACTTCTCTTTTGGTGATTTGTTCTGCCAAGGAGTGAAATTCTTGTGTTGCATGCAACCTTGTATCAGTTACCAAAAATGCAGAGGTTGTGCTTTCCTTTCCTTGTGGAATCCTCACAAATAGCAAAAGCTTTTAGCACCCGAGATTGTGCTTACTTAATAGTATTGTCTTAATTCTTTTTCTTAAATACTAGGAATTTTGTTCTTATTAAATCTAGCTTTTGAGTTGAAGTAAGATAAACTGACTCTCTTACCTAGTTTCTGTCCTAGTAGGTAGCCTAAGATGAAAGGAGAAGCCTAAGGAATAAATCCATAAACTGATGGGGGAAAAAAACAGTAATTAAGTGGTTGTGGATCATATGCAGGTAGTAAGCTCTAAGACCTTATTTGGCTGACTACTGAAATATTCTGTTTATCTTCTGAGTAAGAATAGAAGGAAACATGAATCAGTTACTGATGGCTGTATTTGGAGCTCTTGGATTAAACATTTTAATAGATTACTGTCCTTTTTAATCTAGATAGAGCTCCTTAAAATGTGTATGCCTAGGATTAGATTCTGAGGTGACTTCTGCCTATACCAGTCCCACTTAGGAAACTTAGAAAAATGTTAATTTTGAATGTTAGCCTTTCAAACCCTAAACCATTGTCCTGGGTATAGCTGTTTCATTCTGCTAGCATAAACTTGCATATAGGTAATTCACTGGTACTCTTCACATTAGTTTCCGACCTCCTGCATGAAACATGGTCTCATTTATTAATAGCTTTGCAGTCCAGGTGGTTCATATGATAATGCAAGGCCAGCGGGAATATTTGGATTTCTAATTGTGTGAGTGACAGTCTTTTGAGAGAAAATCTTCATGAATTGACAAAACATTTGTTTTCTTTGAAAGCAGAGCATTTAGTTCCCTTATTTAAGTTCTCATAAAATATACAGTTACTATCAGAGAGACAGGGGAAATAAAGGTTGTATAAGTAATTGAAAAATATCCTACTTTCTATTTTTTTCTTCTAATAAATAATTTGAGGAGTTTTTTTAAGTCTTCTGCACTTGTGATGATAGCAGGTAGCTGTACCCTGAATATTGTCTTGGTAGATACTACATTCACAGTAGTACATATAGTCTGGGAGCTGGGAAGACACTGATGTGTTATGTTAGATAGTTGAATATTCTAGATCTTAACCTCAGGAGCAGTTCATGTGTTTCTGTTCTTGGCTATTGAAATAACAAGAATGGAAATAACAGGACTGAAAAAAGATTGTGTTAAATTTTGCTGTGTACTAATTTGTATTTAAAACTATGACATGCAACAGTGTGAAAGGTAGTGGAGGTATGTGGTATGACAGTGCTTACTAATTCTTCCTTTTTGTGAATCACATGCTTGCCTGAAATCTGACTGATACTGGTTTTTAGTGTCAGAAAGCAATGTCTGCATCTTCCTAGTTCTCTGAGTTTGAGTAGGATGGACTGTGTAGATAAGAATGTTTTAACTTATTTCAGCTTAGAAGTCTTTCACTTGGAAATTCATGAATTTTTTTTTTTCCCCCCTTGCATAGAAAGTAGGGGTGACTGGGCCTCCTGATCCACAAGTCCGATGCCCTTCTGTCATCGAATTTGGCAAGTATGAAATCCAGACCTGGTACTCCTCCCCATATCCACAGGAATACTCGAGGTATGACTGAACGTTAGTCTCCTTTGTTCTGCTTCAGTGTTTATGGGAAAGCTGTACTCCAGCAGGTGTAGAAACCTTAAGAAAATTCTATCTGAATGTAGGATAGAAGCAAAGTACACATAATCCAGATACTTTTCATGGTAGTTAATAGATGTCTTAAGGTCTTTTTAGGCTGAGTCAAAAAGTTGATAAGCTCTCTGCAACAACCTGCATATGCTGTGAGCATTCGAACTGCCACAGGAATATATGATTAGATGGATTCCCAAAGAACTGACATATTCCACGCTCTGAGGAGGGAGCAGCCTCAGCTAAATGACCTGGTACTGGGCTGTTATTAAGCATGTAAGTGATTAGAGTATCTGACTCTCAGAGTGCATTGGTTCTTTACATGTGGTATCATAGAATGGTTTGGATTGGAACGGACCTTTAAAGACCATCTAGTCCAACCCCCCTGCCGTAGGCAGGGACATCTTTCACTAGATCAGGTTGCTCATAACCCTGTCCAGCCTGACCTTGAACACTTCCAATGATGGGCCATCTGCAATTTCTCTGGGCAACCTGTTCCAGTGTCTGACCACCCTTATAAAAAAATGTCTTCCTTCTGTCCAATCTAAATCTAACCTCTTTAATTTTAAAACAGTTGCCCCTTGTCCCATTGCTACAGGCCCCGGTAAAAAGTCTTTCTCGGTCTTTCTTATAAGCCCCCTTTATATATTGAAAGGCTGCAATAAGGTCTCCCTGGAGTCTTGTCTTCTCCAGGCTCAGCAACCCCAACTCTCTCAGCCTTTCCTCATAGGAGAGGTGTTTCATCCCTTGGATCATTTTTGTGGCCGTCCTCTGGACTCATTCTAACAGGTCCATGTCTTGTACTGAGGACCCCAGAGCTGGACGCAGTGCTCCAGGTGGGGTCTTACAGGAGTGAAGCAGAGGAGGATAATCGTCTCCCTTGACTTGCTGGCCACGCTTCTTTGGGTGCAGCCCAGGATACGATTGGCTTTCTGAGCTGCGAGCACACATTGCTAGCTCATGTCCAATTTTTCATCCACCAGTATCTCCAAGTCCTTCTCTGCAGGGCTGCTTTCAATCCATTCATCCCCAGCCGGTATTGATACTGGGGATTGCCCCGGCCCAGGTGCAGGACCTTGCACTTTGCCTTGTTGAACTTCATGAGGTTCGCTTGGGCCCACTCCTCCAGCCTGTCAGGGTCCCTCTGGATGCCATCCCTTCCCTTGAGCGAATCAACTGCAGCACTCCTCATGATAAAAAATAATGTTTGTTTAGGGAATAGGATGTTAACTGTGTATTAAAGGATTTGATTAGAAATATCTGTATACTATCTATGGGAGTTGAAAGAGAAAAATAAATAGAAATTTCACAGGAATTACTTTGATGCATTATTTTTATGCTGTATGTAGTTCAACACAGCTAAAGAAGAAACGTTTAATGTTACACGGTTTGGCATCTGAAAGATTGTTCTGCTGTGATGCATGTATAGTTGTTTTGATGCTCTCTTGCTTAAGAACTTTGCAAACTGTCTAAACTGCAAACTCCCCAAACTTTAACTTGATTCAGAAAGAGGAATAACTTCCAAAGGCCATAGCTAGAGAGAGAAAAATAAATAAAACTCTTTATTCTACCATTTAATAATTATTAGAGCATGTGGTCTGTCATGAGGAATTATTCTAGCTCTGCTAAAGGCGTTGAAGGTAACTGAAAATAGCATCCCTGCTCAAGCTAGAGTATGTAAATGGAGTTAAATCACAATACTATTGGGACACTTGCATTCAAATTGTTCATGTCAATGTAGTATGTAAAATGGTTTTAAAGCAAACAGATAGATGGTGTTGTGACCCATTGCTCAGGGATACGTGCAGCTGTCTGTTACGAGGAGGGAAGGGAGAGAAAAGGAACTATTTATCTAATCCATCCTAGCGTCACTAGTGCAAAACTGGGGTTTTTTTGCTATTTTTTCTAGGATTTTAATCGATGCATGTATTTCTTATGAGATAACTTAATAATGTAAAAGTAATTATGCAGGACACTAAGCACATTTTGTTAATATGCATTCATTACAGAATAAGTAAGTGCCATGACTTTAAGTATGGTAGTGGTTTGGTGGTTTTGGCCTGATTAGCACATACAAAAGGTCAGTATATACTGGGTTTGCTTTCACCAGGTTTTATCTGCAGGAGTGAGGAATTTTATACAAAAGTCTGTATCTCCAGTCTTTGATCTTTCTTTATCTTTGCTTACAGGCTACCCAAGTTGTACCTTTGTGAATTCTGTCTAAAGTATATGAAAAGTAGAACTATTCTCCAACAGCATATGAAAAAATGTGGCTGGTTTCATCCTCCAGCCAATGAAATTTACAGAAAAAACAATATTTCAGTCTTTGAGGTAAGTTAGAAAACTAAGCCACAGGCTTTTATCTGTAAAATAGGGGCTTTAGCACCCAATCGTGTGATAAGTTTTCCATAGCCCTAAAGATCTTTATTCTTGAAGCATTCAGTTGCTAAGAGTGAAGAACCACAAGCAAGCTGTGGGAGCTGACCTCATGTATAGATTATTCATACATAAAACTTACGAGAAGGCTCGCTTTGTAAAAATGCTTTTTCATTTTAGGAAAATGAATTTTAAGTTCTCTCTTAAGCTAATGAATGTAACAGTGACTTAGCCATGGCCTTTATGCTGTGGAAGTTTAAGTCCTTTGAGATGCTACCTGTGACAGAGAAGTCTTCTTCTCATGTTAGACATTTCAAACGTACAGCAATACCCAGATGAAGCATGTCCTTGCATGACAGCAAATGGAGTGACAAAGCTTTTCCTCATTTCTGTAAGGTTGATGGCAATGTCAGCACTATCTACTGCCAGAATTTGTGCTTGTTAGCCAAACTCTTCCTGGACCATAAGACTCTCTATTATGATGTGGAGCCATTTCTTTTCTACGTGCTGACGCAGAATGATGTCAAGGGCTGTCATCTTGTTGGCTACTTTTCCAAGGCAAGTATTTGAGTACTTCAGACATGGAACTGCATTTGCTATGGTGAGAAATGCTGCTTCGGAGTCTTTAAATTGTTGTAATTTAGGCCCTTGCATTTTATATAATACATTATGTAATACAGGTATAGACATCTGTGGCAACCAGATTGTATTTATGTTACATTTGGAGACAACCAACTACACCATCTAATAAAACCAAGTTTCCTCATAATGTTGAATAGCATATAGTCTCTAAGGAACTTGTAGTGCAGCTAGTAGCTAAAAAAACCCCAACTCTTCAAATGACTTCCTACTCTTGATGGTGATGGGTAGTACTGTTTGTGAGAGAAACACTGTTACCAAGTGGTTCTATCTCATCTTTCCTTCTGTAAATACATTGTTTTCCAAACAAGTTTGGCAATTTTGCACCTCATTTCAAAACTTTTTTTTTTTTTTTTGTTGGAACAGGGCCAAGATTTCAGATAGGCCTTTTCTTAAAATTTTTATCTGTAATTGTTTTACTTATTTTTAAATAGCTTTAATTGAAGCTTTTCCTTTCAGTCTTCAGAACAGCAGATTTGAGATTGGATTTTAGTATGTTATGGTTATAACATTTAAAGATTCACTGGAATAATGCAATCTTTTTCAGTGAATTTAGCTGCCTTCAGATTTATGCTTTGAACTTTATCTGCTATGCAGCCCATGTTCTTTACTGTATTGTAGTTAAGCAGAAGGTGGTAGTTATGTCAAGGTTTCATTCTTTTTGTTTTTCTGAACTAAAATTATGGTGATAGAGTTTTAATATTATTCTCTCTTTTAAAGTCTTTTCCTTGGCTCATGTACATTGTTGTTCCTAAGAAACTTTGACTGTGGCTTTCTATCTCAGTTTTTGCTATAGAAGTAGTTAGGGACTTGTACAGAACAACTACTATTTCTCACTGGTCTCTCTTCTCCCTTTTTTTTTTTTTTTTTTTTTTTTTTTTTTTTTTTTCCTTTTTTCCAACAGGAAAAACACTGCCAACAGAAGTACAATGTTTCCTGTATAATGATTCTTCCACAATACCAGCGTAAGGGCTATGGCAGGTTCCTAATTGACTTCAGTAAGGAACTTTTTCTTCACTTTTTTTAGTCTTTGTCTTTTCATATTTTAAAGAAAGGCTTAACTGTGGAAAAGGATATTTTTCAAATTAAAAAACATCTTGGGACAAAGGATTCTAAAACTCATAAAATCATCTGAACTTCACAATTTACTCTTATTGTTGGAAGGCTTCAATTCTAAAGACAAATTGATCATTTTTCCCCTAACTCTCATGTTTCCCGTGTAAGCAACTTACGGTGGAAACTATAAGCATGTGTCAGCATAGTGTTTTTAGCAGAAGCTTACCTTGTGCATGTGGTTCTTTCTACAGAAAGCCAACCCTAAAACTGCATAATCTGTTGAAACCTTCAGCAGCTTGATTAAGTGAATGAGTGTCTTAAGCAAAAGGTAGTCATAGTTACGTTTTAATTTAGCTCTGAGAGCAACAAAACCAGACATACTTAGGCTCCGAATACTCAAACAATTCTCAGATTCATACATGGATTTTGGCAAGTTCATGGGAAAACTTGCCACTGTAACTATATCTCCCTTATTATGCTGAGTGCAATCTAATATAGCCCTCCCTGTGGACATGCTAATTTGGAGCTAATGTCCAGAGGAAAAACCCTACTGGTATAATTATATTAGAATGATTTTGCTAGTAAATATCCTTGTGTAGATAAATTGTTGTTCTCCTGAAAATATTGGTGAAACAAAGGAACTCAATGATGTATCTTCAGAAATCAACAAATGTGGGCTATATTAGAGCAGCAGTGAGAAGACATATTTGTCAGCTGGTTCCCCCTCCCCCCTTTGCCATACTGGGGAGGGTATAACCTCTCGGTCTTTACTGAACCTGTGCAGTGTATCACAGTCTTAAATTAATTAAGTTTCTGCAGATAGAGCTTGGTACTCTTTAGTATGGCCCTGAAGTTTGACAGTAGAGAATTTTCAAGAAAATTGTTTGCCATATTAGTTTTAAAAGGCTAAAATATGTTTTCCCTCTGTCATCTTCAAAATTGCTATTGCAATTGGAAGATACTCAGCAGACTGTGTACTTCAGGCTTAGTATAGTTTCTAGATAGGTAACGGCTGCCATCTCGTGGCATTGCCCATAGCCAATGTCTGATGGCAATGTAGTTTAGCGATCTGATACTCTATCATTGAATAACAGGAGTTTAAACAAAAAAAAGAAAATCGGCCAGACCACTCAGTGTATCCTTCAAAATTATAATCTATATCTTGTAGGTAGCATTCAGCTACTTTCTGGAAAAATACCTTTGTAGAAATTGGGGTGGAAACAGAAGGTATATATGCTAATTTTTTGAAAATTTTTTCTTGTATATCTTTAGGCTATTTGCTTTCAAAGCGTGAGGGTCAAGCAGGATCGCCAGAGAAGCCCCTATCAGACCTGGGGCGCCTCTCATACATGGCTTATTGGAAAAGTGTAATATTGGAGTGCCTTTATCATCAACGTGACAAGCAATTAAGCATCAAGAAGTTGAGTAAGCTGACTGGAATCTGCCCTCAAGATATCACTTCCACTCTACATCACCTACGAATGCTTGACTTCCGTAGTGATCAGTGAGTACAGGACTCCTGTTGTATTTCCAAATAGCTTCAGATGTATTTGAATGAAATTTAATGATGTTTGGAGACAAGTCACATCTAATAAGCTTGATTTTATTTAAGACTTAAGTGTCCAAATATTGGCTGTAGAGATTTATGATGTTCACGTGCAATGCAAGAATTGTTCAGTGCCAAAGCTGGATCAGATTTCCAGCTGTGTAGCTCTGCAGCTGTGGAACTTCTGAGTAATTTGCAGCTGTGAGAGAAAGCAAGCTGATCTCTTGGCCATGTTCTCTTGGGGTCCCTCAGCATAATCAGTCTAACATACTCACAAAACAGAGCAAAGAACAGCAACTTCCCTTCTCTAGAGGGAAATCTGTTCCTTTTTCCAGTCACTGAGCAGACAGTTGTTTCCCTCCCTTTTCTCTGTGCCTCAAAGATGCCATTAACTGTGTGGATTAACATGGGATGCTTGAACAGTGGGATAGATCACTGGGAGAAATGAGGTGTGTGGATATAGAATAGAGGTAGTCTGCTTGCCCAGCTGAGTGTACAAGTCAAGTGAAATAGTGGGAATTATTCTTGATTCAGACTATAGCAGTTTTGGGAGTGGGGTTGTATTCGGTTGTGTTTTGTGTTAAACCTGGAACTTATTTGGAAAACTGGAAGTTATTTGAGAACAGTTTTATGTCCTTGTTTCACGGTATACTTTAATCGGTTACTCCCAGTCCCCTGAATAAAATCCACTCTGGTAGTGGGACTGTAACTTTTTAAAGCAGCCCTTTTATTACCATTCAGTATCTTTCACTTTATGCTGCCTGTTCCCCAAATGTCATACCCCTTGTCCGTTTAACACATAATAAAAGTGATACTCTGCAGCTGAATGTTACCCATGGAAGAATAATGGTATCACCATTAACAAATGGAAAGAATTTAACAACATTTTCTCAGTTTTAAGATGCTTTCTCTGGTAGTCTGACAGTACTGCAAATTGTACAATTTTAATGAGCTTTCTGTCCTCTCTGAAGTTACTCATGGCAGCACTGATTGAGAGTACACAGATTTTTCTGTAATATCTTATATCTGTTTCGCATGACAACATGTACAGTATGTAGCCTGTTGTTGATCAGAGTATTATTACTGTTTAGATTTGTGATAATTCGTCGGGAGAAACTTATCCAGGAACATATGGCAAAGCTTAGGACTAATGTCCGACCTATAGATGTGGATGCAGAATGTCTGCGTTGGACACCTGTTATAGTTTCCAACTCAGTTGTCTCTGAAGATGAAGAAGAGGAGACAGAGGACGGGGAAAATGAAGAGCAACAGCAGCAGAAAGAAAAGGATCCAGAGACCAGTGTAAGAGTGAATCTGTTACACACAGTTACTTCTGTGTGGCATATAGTTTACACTCAGTGCTTTTCCAGGCAATGCTAACAAGATTTCAAATGCCAAGCTTGGGCGTTTGGCATAATCATAAAAAGCAATGCAGTCATGATTAGTTTATGTGTCTTTATAGTTTCAGATCAGAAACTAAAAATAGGGAAAACATTGAGGCATAGCCTAGAGAAAGGTTAAAGACTATCTCTGAAAAGAGTAAAAAGGCTCTTTCTACCCTTAGTGATTTTTGCAGTATGTGTTGGGGGGGCAGTATTAAAAACAAACAAACAAACAAACAAACAACAAACCCAAAACCAAAACAAAACACCCCTGCCTCCCACTCTCAAGCAACCTGGTCTCTCATCAAATTATTGAAATGGATTTAGGTTTGAAGGACCCAGTATTTCTGTAAGTGACAAATATAGCATAAATGGAAATGAATCAAGGAAAACTTTTAACTTTTTTCACCAAGGGCTTTTGCTGTGTACTTTTGCAAAACCACTAATAGCTTTAGAATTACTGCCTACAGAGCAGTGAAGGTTTCTGAAATCTAGGCTGCTGTCCTTGAAGGGTTGCACTCTCTCATCAGGTGATGAACACTGACTAGAATACTAAGAGGCAAATTATGGGCTGTTACTGTATTTACATTAAACTAATTGTGCATTTTGATGGAAAAATAGCTTCAAGTTTGTCTCACTTTTTTCTTGAAAATTACACAAATACTGTGTTTGAATGTAGCAAGATGATGTTTGCATTCCAGCAGGCCACTGGATGGCTGCTGCTGACTGAAGTCACTTGTCAGGAAGCTAACTGAGGTACATTATCACCTGGGAGGAAAGGAGTAGCAGTTAGCACTATTAGAATCTTGTAAAGGTCAATTCTTTTGTTATTCCCAGATTCTTAAAAGTCATTCTTGTTAAACTTTTCTGACTTCTTGCTCAAAAGCTTTTGTGGAATCAAATTCAGGAAAGACATGCATGCTTAAATAGGAAATGTGAAATCTATTTGTGTTTATTTAAATCAGATGGTAAAATCTGTGTCGTGGGAGAAGAAAGAGCAAGAGCCTTACTCACCTACAGAGTGTGAAAAAAAGCCAGACATTGTTGCTCCAGCCAATTCTGCACGGCCAAACAAGCACATTTTTCCCCTGGATAGTCTTCCTGCAAACAGTCAGCCATCACGAAGAGGTCGATGGAACCGCAAGGGCAAAAAACTTCGGGACCCCTTTTGTGAGAAGGAGCCAATATTGCCCATTGAGGACAAAGCAGCAGTTCCCAGTGGGCGATGCAGTGAATGTGAGGAGAAATCTGCAGCCTCACGAGGCAGGTGCAGTGACTGTGAGGAGAAGTCGGCAGCCTTGCCAGGAAGATGTGGTGAATGTGAGGAGAAGTCTCCAGCCCCAAGAGGCCGGTATGCTGAAGATGAGGAAAAATCTGCAGTTTCCCAGGGGCAGTATGGCAAAGGTGAAAAATCTGCAATACCCCGTCGGCGGTACAGCGAAGGTATGGAAAGGTGGAGAGGGCAGTTGAAAAAGAGCACGGAGCCACTGAAGTGTAGATTCCCGGAGGACGGCGACAGATTACCCCGCCGCTACAGTGATAGTGATAGGGCACTTCTGAGGTGTTTTAGTGAGAGTAGTGAAGAGGAAGATGATGAGCCTGTGAGTCCTCGATCAAGCTCTCCACCTGTTCTCACCAAGCCAACATTAAAACGAAAGGTGTGTGTCTTCTTTCTTGTTGTCTCTGACTATATCATGCAGTCTATTTTGTCAGTATGTTGATGCTTTCTGAAGGATTGTGCAATTCATGAGGTATGTATTAAGTGTACAGGTAGCATCTGCTCAGTCTTCCAGAACTCTGGAGGGTGCTTTCCGCCACCTATTTGTAGTGGTGGTTTTTGTTGAATCAGAGGTAGGGTTTTTTTTAATTTTAACTTCTGTCTTGTGCTTTTGATTTTTCCACCTTGGTTATTGAAGTTTTAATGGTTTATACTATTACACAAATGTCAATCTAGCAATCTTCATGGAAGTCGGTCATCTTGCATTGTATTTGACATCTGTCTAATGTGCAGGTGCTGGTCAGTATTTCTAGTGAAGTCTGGACTCCAGAAGGGAGCCCTCTGGTCCTGCTTAGACTGTCGAACTCTGCTGTTCATGTTTTCTATTTATCAGTGTTTTATTTCTACTGCACGTGATAAAATGTCTTCTCTTCTCCCACCTTCCACTTTCAGAAACCAATTCTTCATCGGAAGAGGCGAGTCCGCAAGCGTAAGCACCACAACAGCAGTGTTGTCACTGAAACAATTTCGGAGACCACAGAAGTGCTGGATGAACCATTTGAGGACTCAGACTCTGAACGACCAATGCCCCGACTAGAGCCTACATTCGAGATTGAGGAGGAGGAAGAGGAGGAGGAGGATGAAGAGGAAGAGAATGAACTTTTGCCCAGTGGATACTTTCGGCACTTAGCCCCACCAGACACACTCAGGCATAGACCCTCTTCTAAGAGGAAGTCCAAAGATGAGGAGGAGTCTGATGACACTAATGGTATGTTTGGTGGTATGCTGTTGAAAGTTTGCTATAGATAGTGTGTCGGTGAGTGTCGGATGATACTAGCTCATGATGGAACAAGCTGCTTACCTTGTCTTGTAACTTATAGCCAAAATGTAGGGTTAGGCATAAATTACCCGTCAAACCAGACTCAGACATTCCCAAGTCTTGTGAAAATGTGGTGCATGCTTTTAACTGTCTTATTAGCAATGATCTGATCATAGGGTATCCTTTTGATTCAGCTTTCCTAGTGGAATTGGTATCTGTGATTGTGGAAAAACCTATGCAGCAGGGTCGCTTACACAAATAAAACAGAAATAAATTGGAGAGCCCTCAGTTTTCCGTAACAAAGGGAGATAATAAATTGTCTCTTTTGAAATCCTGTTCTTCATCACATTGCATGTCCTGCCTCTCAGCATCTCCTATCTCCTTAAAGTTCTCTGAACCTTTAGTTCATAAAATAAAATTATGTGGTTGGAACTGGTTACTTAGAGTGCACTGACAATTCAAAAGAAACATCTGTCATTCAGATGCTCCATTAGTAATCTTCATTATGGCTGTTATATGTTCTGTTCTCTTGATGGTCTACATAGTGCAAGGCAGCTAGCCAAATAAAAACAAAGAACTGTGTGAAAGAGAAGTATGGTGCCGTTATCCCACAATAAAAAATCGTTACTGGAACAAACTCATTAATTTATGGCTTTCAGCTAGCCTGTGGTTAGCAGAGGAGAATTTTTCTTTAAAAGTACTTAAATACTGAAAGCATCAATATTATTATAGCCATGTATATACTATCCATTTAGCATCAGTTACCCTTAAATCCTTATAGCAGCACATGACTTCATAAATTTAGTGCAAACACGTGTTGATGCAGCATTAAGTTTTCTTAGTGGGAATATATGCACAGTCAGTTTGTACGATTGTTTTTTTAAAATCTGTTGTGATCAGATTACTCATGAAATACATTTTTATGGTACTCCAGCACCATTAATAAGACTATAGGGTTGGGAGAATATCTATTAGATAAGTGGTTTTCAGTCTTTTTCATTTGTGGTCTTCTGAATGTTTTCTGGTGGAGGTGCAAATCCCTTTAGAGATTCCACACACATATATTACTTTATAAAATACATCAGTGATTTTTAACCATCTTTTGCAGACTACAAATAGTCCATAGAGTGCCCAGGGATCAAAAATGGTATTTGGAAAGCCACTGTTTTAACTCACACCCGTTATATACTACAACGATAAATTTCTTGCTCACCTACTTTTTATAAATACTTTACTTTCTTACTCTCCACTTGTAATTTAGTGCTTTCTGTTCCCTTGTGTCACTTCTGCTGCCTTTTTTTTTTTCCTGAACTGCTGCAAATTTGTCAGGACCTCTGAAGTAATAAAGTAGTAAGCACACTACTTTAGGGTATTGCTGCTCCTGACATCAAATGGTATCTGTTGGCTGCTTATGCCTTTAATGCAGGTGCCTTTGCGTATACATAGTAAAACTGTAATGATCTTAGAGAAAATACAATGTACTTTCAATTACCTAAACATGTTAGCCCATGGGGATAATCAGTCATCATAAACAGCTGGCCTTTTTTGATAAAAAAATTAAGCTGGGTGGAGGGGGGTGGCACTGCCTTATGATGATTCAGAAATATGGTATTGCAGTCATTAATACTTGGTTCAGATTTAGACTATTTTAATCAGAACTGTGAGTTAGGAATGTTTATAGGAAGCTTAGATATTTTTTTTGAAGTTTTCCCATCACTACAGAAACCTGCTTGTAATTTCCTTTTTTTTAAAAAAAAAAAAAAAAAAGTTTTTTTAAACTTTCTGACTAAGGGTGGTTTGGGTTAGATTTTTCCCTGATAATTTAATCTCTAGCTGAGGCAATCATTGAAAGTGTTTTATGATTTCCCTGAAATGTAACATTGTAGTCTCTTAAATTTGGTGTCTGATGAGAATTTGAATTGGTTCTGATTGCTGTCAGGGCTACAGTGAGAATGGATAGTGTGGTGTGGTGATTTGATGCCAGTATTTAACAAGGGTTAGGCATTCTGGAAGACAGTGTGTGTTCTGTGGTGTAGAAAACAAATAAACCTTGTCTCTCTATATTCTACCAATTCTGTGCAACTTGATTAGTGTTGTGTGGGGGAAGATGGAGCTCTGTAATAGGCTGGGCTGTATTATTTTGCTTTTCCTAGTTCTACCTGTAAGTTTTACTGTGAGTGTGAATACTGTAAGGATTCTGTTCAATCTTGCGTGCACACTGACGTTTAAGTGCAACTGTATGAGCACATACATATGTTTCTCGGTATCCTAAAAAATGATGCATGTGAAATCTTGAGTGGTCATCAAATCCATATTCTTTTGTGAAGACTGTGTCAAGTGCATATGGTAAAAATCATAGAATCACAGTCCCTTGAGGTTGGAAAGGACCTCTGGAGGTCATCTTGTCCAGCCCCACTGCTGAAGCAAGGCCACCAAGACCCAGTTGCTCAGGACCATGTCCAGATGGCTTTTGAATATCTCCAAGGAGGGAGACTCCACAACCTTTCTGGGCAGCCTGTTCCAGTGCTCAGTCACAGTAAAAAAAAGTGTTTCCTGATGCTCAGATGGAACCTCCTGTGTTTCAGTTTGTGCCCATTGCTTCTGGTCCTGACACTGGGCACCACTGAAAGGAGCCTGGCTCCATCTTCGTTACACCCTCCCTTAAGATATTTGTACACATTGATAAGATCCCCCTCCCCCCGAGCCTTCTCTTCTCTAGTCCCAGCTCTCTCAGCCTTTCCTCATCAGAGAGATGCTCCAGTCTCTTAGGCATCTTAGTGGCCCTTTGCTGGGCTCTCTCCAGTAGCTCCATGTCTGTCTTGTACTGGGGAGCCCAGACTGGACACCTTTAATATTACATTATTATAAGGGGAAACTGCCATCATAAGATCATTTACTTTTTTCTGTATTCCTAAAAATATTAAATCCATGACAGTACAGATAAAAGCAAAGGGTCTTTACCTAAGATGTGGTAAATCTAATCCTCCACAGTAGATAGGAAATATGAAAGAAGGGGAAGAGAATAGCGATTTTTAAATTATTTTTTTTTTTAAGAGGAGAATTTTTTTTAAAGGGCTTAATTGTTAATGCTTTAACAAATACTATGAAAGTAGTGTTTCTTTCTTCCTGCCCAATGATATGCTGACTGTGGCAGATGCTTTCTTTCCTTTATTCACATTCCAAATGTTTGTTTTATGGATGACTTCAAGGAGTTGTTGACTCTTGAATTCAGTATGTTTTAAATTCATTTTTTAATACCCAGAATTTTTTCAGAATGTTTCTCATCGGAGATATTTAGAGTAAATGCCTGTCTGAGCAAAGGGCAAGAGTAACTCAGCTGACCTATGATTACGTTTAAGAAGCACTTGTGAACTACTAGGAGCACATGATTTAGTTTTACCTTCATTGCATAACTGTGGACTTAAAACAGCTCTTCTTGGGAAATTCATAGTGTGGAATCAATAACATTTTTTAAGATGGTAGAAAGGGCAGAAATGTGAATAAATGTACTCTGAATATTGGGGGGAAATTGATCTTATATCCATATAGTGGGATGACCAACCTAATTTACAGGCCCATCAGTGTGACATTCATCCTGATTTAAATAGTAGGATGACTGGCTTATTACTCAGTAGGAAGTCCAGGGAGGGTTATTTGCTCAATACAAATGAACACTGGTATGTGAAAAATGTATTTGTCAGACAATGATGTATTTTTACAAGACTACAGCTTGCTTAATAAGGGTAATTGGTGTTACCTACTTAGTGTTTTGAGAGGTATTTGACTTAATCAAAACCATTTGCTTAAGCTGAAATGTTACAGAATCAAGCTAATACATATTAAATAAATCAAGCTGCAAACAGAGTAATTAAGAAGCTTTGTTACTAGCAGGGTGCAAGGCAGTTGGACTAGATGATCGTTGTAGGTCCCTTCCAACAGAACTATTCTATTCTAAGGGAGATTGGTCTGGGTTGTATGTCTGTCTGTATGGATATTTTATGGATAGATTAAAAAATAATGTAGCAGCTGACAGAAAAAGAGGGGATTTGGTAAATGAAGTGAAGGGCAATTCACTGACAAAGTCTATGAGAGAGTATTTGAAGGTCATGTCCAGTAATTAGCATGGTTTTCTAGCTCAAAGCCAAAGAGATTCAGATGATCCTTAAATATATGAACAGGGGAATCTCAAGTGGAGTAGAGACATTCTGTCATCTCTTTATTTAGCTTTGGTGAAACTATTACAACCATCTTTACTCAGTTATTCGCACTTGATAAGAGTATTGACAAACTGGAATAGTTTAAAAAACAGTCGTGGGCTGATTAAGACACTAGAACAAATGTTCTATAATGATAGATTCAAAGAAAGCAGAGGCAAAAGAGTGACTTGATAAATTTACAAATTACTTAGGTGAGAACTGTTATTTGGTAAGAGAGATTTTCTGCCTAGCAGATAAAAGGAAAACTAATACAAAAGCAGATTAAGTAAATTCAGTGTCTGAAGACAAATTCAGATGGTAAAGTGTGAATATCAACTAGTGTCAATGATTAACTGTAGCAGTAGTTTACCAGCAGTTGTGTAAAATGTCACTGACTATCCTAATTGACAGGTTCAAAACAAAATTAATTCAGGGAATGCCTTACAGTATTCAGTAAATTTTCAGTAAACGATCACATTCCTTTCAGGCTGTATAAGCTCTGAACCTATTCTAGTGTTTGGAAAGTCACTGAAATGCAAAACTTTCTTCATCAAATAAAAGTCAGATGAGAGAGAAATTCAACTTCCTTTTAATGATTTTTCAGATTAAAAAAAAAATCTAGCCTAATTCAGTCATCTGTGTATTTCTATTGGCATTTAAAAGCATAAGCCATGAAAAAAGTAGAAATATTTCCTTTCTTACACAGATGCACAAAATACAGATCTAAATGGAAACATGCTTTTATTGCAACTTCATGTGTTCCCCTACACTGGAACACTTTCATTTGTGAACATACCGTATAAATACAATCTGTAAAGGCTGGTGAGTCTTTCCAGGACTTTATCGTATAGCCTAGTGTTTAATTTGAATTGTGTATTAAAGGCTCAGAGCTTTGACCATGCAAAATCTTGAAAGCATTGGTGTTCTCTGAAAATGTAATGTGCAATGTGATGGCTAATGAGCAGACCTTGATCCTTCTTGTTACCCTTCACAACAAATCTCTAAGCTAGTATTGATACATAAAGTTGATAAACATGATGGGAATGCTTGGGAAAGCTTCCGTGAATGCTCAGGTCAAACAAAAATGTTTGAACAGTATCTTTCAATTTGTGTTTTCAGGTAACCCAACTTTGAAACCATTATCTATGCTGAGAAAATGTGAAGCAAAGGATTCTTCACTTGAGCCAGATACTTCTACACCCATGAAAAAGAAGAAGGGATGGCCAAAAGGGAAAAGCCGAAAACCAGTCCACTGGAAGAAAAGACCTGGTCGAAAACCAGGCTTTAAACTGAACCGGGAAAAGGTGCCACCATCAGTTCAGGATGAAGGAGTTGATGCAGTGGTAGCTAATTCAAAACCAGGGCGTAAGACCAAAATTTCAGATAAAGAAGAAAGTGTTGAGCAGAAAGAAGAGCTGCCTCTTATTGAAGAAAGGAAAGAGGAAGATGTGAATATGGAAGCAGAAGAGGTAGGAGAGGGAGAAGAGGAAGATATAGCCAGCAGTGAAGTAAGAGCAGTTTCTCCTGTGGACAGCAACAGCAGTCCTGTGCCAGAAGTAAAAGAGCCTGAGATAGAAGAGGAGGTAGAGGAGAAGCCACGGGTTTTAGAAGAGCAAAGGCAATCAGAAGAAGAACAGCAAGAACTAGACGAACCTGAGCATGAGCACGAGGAAGAAGAGGAAGCTGCAGTAGTGACAAATCAAAATGAAGATCATGATGCCGATGACGAAGATGACGGTCATCTGGAGTCTGTGAAGAAAAAAGAAATGGAGGAACAGCCTGTTAGAGAAGGGGTGAAGGAGGAGCCTCAGGTGCAAGAATGTTTTTTAGAAACAACTATACCAAGCAGTAGAGAAGATGCAAAAGAAAAAGATGAAGCAGAGGCAGATTCTGAGGAAGAGCAGGCTTCCAATGAGACATCAGTGGGCTCGGAGCACGTCCCTGGGTCTGAAGATGATCATGAAGAAGAGCAAAGTAATAAAGAAGGGTTAATTGAATTAAAGGAAGAGGAAGAGATTCCTCATAGTGAACTAGATCTTGAAACTGTTCAAGCAGTCCAGTCCTTGACACAGGAGGAAAGCAATGAGCATGATGTAGCTTACCAGGACTGTGAAGAAACTCTTGCAGCTTGTCAGACTTTGCAGAGTTACACTCAGACTGAGGAGGATCCTCAGATATCAATGGTTGAAGATTGCCAGGCCTCAGAACACAACAGTCCAATATCCTCTGTTCAGTCCCACCCCAGCCAGTCTGTACGTTCTGTCAGCAGCCCAAATGTGCCTGCTCTGGAGAGCAGTTACACCCAGATAAGTCCTGAACAAGGATCCCTGTCCGCACCCTCTATGCAGAACATGGAGACCAGCCCCATGATGGATGTGCCTTCAGTATCGGACCACTCTCAGCAGGTAGTGGATAGTGGCTTCAGTGACCTTGGCAGCATTGAGAGCACTACAGAGAATTATGAAAACCCCAGCAGCTATGACTCCACTATGGGAGGCAGCATTTGTGGAAATAACTCTTCCCAGAGCAGCTGTTCATATGGAGGACTGTCCTCTTCTAGCAGCCTCACTCAGAACAGTTGTGTTGTCACTCAGCAAATGGCAAACATTGGCAGCAGTTGCAGCATGATGCAGCAAAACACTGTCCAGCCTGCGGCAAACTGCAATATCAAGTCACCTCAGAGCTGTGTAGTAGAAAGGCCTCCAAGTAACCAGCAACCAACAACACAGCCACAACAGCAACAGCCTCAGTCACAGCAGCCACAGCCCCCACCTCCACCCCAGCAGCAACCTCCACTGTCTCAGTGTAGCATGAACAACAGCTTCACCCCAGCACCTATGATCATGGAAATACCTGAATCAGGAAGCACTGGTAACATAAGTATCTATGAGAGGATTCCAGGGGATTTTGGTGCTGGGAGCTATTCACAACCATCAGCCACATTCAGTTTAGCCAAGTTGCAGCAGCTGACAAACACCATTATGGACCCTCATGCCATGCCTTATAGCCATTCTCCTGCTGTGACTTCCTATGCAACCAGCGTTTCTCTGTCCAACACAGGATTGGCTCAGCTAGCTCCCTCTCATCCGTTAGCAGGCACACCACAAGCACAAGCCACTATGACACCCCCACCAAACCTGGCATCCACCACCATGAACCTCACGTCACCTCTGCTTCAGTGTAATATGTCTGCTACCAATATTGGTATTCCACATACACAGAGGTTGCAGGGGCAAATGCCAGTCAAGGGGCATATTTCCATTCGCTCTAAATCAGCACCACTGCCCTCTGCAACTGCACACCAGCAGCAGCTCTATGGCCGCAGCCCATCCGCAGTTGCCATGCAGGCTGGTCCTCGTACGTTAGCTGTTCAACGGGGTATGAACATGGGAGTCAACCTAATGCCAACCGCCCCTTACAATGTTAATTCCATGAATATGAACACCCTGAATGCCATGAACAGCTACAGAATGACACAGCCTATGATGAACAGCAGTTACCATAGTAACCCTGCCTACATGAACCAGACAGCACAGTATCCTATGCAGATGCAGATGGGAATGATGGGGAGCCAGGCCTATACCCAGCAGCCTATGCAGCCAAATCCTCATGGAAACATGATGTACACTGGCCCCTCCCATCACAGCTACATGAATGCTGCTGGGGTGCCCAAGCAGTCTCTCAATGGACCATACATGAGAAGATGAGCAAGATGAACTTGCATTCTAAAAACTGAAATATATATAAATAAAGGAACCTTTTATACTGACGAACCAGAGAAAATGGACCTTTTTCCAGTTAAAATATTGCTGTAGATTTAGAGGGATTTTCTTTGGTTTATTTTATTTTTTAGGAAGCCTGGTCTTTATTTTTTGGATTTTTTTTGTTTTGCGTTTTTGTTTTCTTCACAGTTCTGAAACATTTTACAGCTAAAATAATTTACAGATGTTTTTTAGAGGGGAAAACATGCACAAAATCTTTTCATAATTTAAAAAGAGCCTTACTTTGCTGACAATGTGGACAGAATATGTGTAACAATGAAATCATCTTTCTAAATTTTTTTTCAAATGTATGTCCTTCTCCCTCCCCTGTGCCCCTCTGTATGCAGTTTCTAGTGCTGCAGTCATGTAAAATGTTTGACATCTCAAAGAATAACAACCCTTCCCTCTAAACCTCACCTAGCATTTCCTACTTCTAGCAGGAGGCACTTATTGGGAGACTTGGAAGGGGACACAGAGGATAAATGAAGCTCTTTATTTCTGCAAGTCAGGAAAAATTTTTAATCTTTAACTTTCCCTGACTCCCTTGCCCGCAGTAAAATTTGGAGTTATGTGTAAACAATAAACTATTCACATTGGTGTTTTTGTAGATGACTTAACTGAAATTGTATGTTTCATGCTGAAAATATAATGTAATTTTAAAATGATCCCATTCACCACCCAGACATGCATGTGCACACACATGTGCATGCATGCACACATGTTCTGTCACTCTGAACTACTGGAAGCATCTCGAGAGAACTGTTTGTGTCCCTTATGCAGTCATGAGGAGGATAGGGTGGCTAATGGTCTGTTAGGACAAGAAAATGGTTGCAGGCTCTTCTGGTGAACTGCAAGTCAGCCACAACTCTGAGATCCCAAACTGCTTTAGTATGTACTTCGAAATGCTGAGGGTCTTTGGTTCTGAAGCCTTTGAGTCGGGCTGAGCTCAAAAGCAGCTGTTTCCAGTGGTCTGCCTCTTAATCTCTTTACTTATCACTTACAGATAAAGTGTATGTTTTAAGTGACTTGACAAGAACCCTGTGGTGTCCTTGTCACTCTTCCATTCCTGGTATGGGGTAGGAAGTTGCTGAATGTGCCGCTCTCTGAGGGAGTCAGTGATGTTTTCCCTGATTCTCCCACTATGTTTGAAACCCATTTTATAGGAATACCCACACTTTTGATCTAGTGTGGGAAAAGAAGGGAATCTGCCTGTTTTATAGGAGTGAAACAGTCCAAACACCATAGTAGGATGCAGGCGGCAGGATTTTGCTGTTTATTACCGCATAATCCAATTTACATTCTTTTTGGCTACACTGCTGGCATGTCACCCAATACAAAAAGGGACACCCTTTAATGTAAAGTTCTTTTTTTATTGTATATGAAGTAGAAATACAGACACATTAATAAGACTAATTTCTTTTGTTTTTAAACCAAAAGAGTCTAAAAGTTGGGGTTTCTTCAGATGCACTAAAATGGACTTTCCTCCAGTAACTGCTAACCATAAAAGGCAGAATTCAAAGGACTTCCACTTTTTATTTCTGTTTAGTTTTGAGCATGTACAAGGCTGTGTAGGACCCCATTTCTCTGTATATACTATTCCAGTTCCAAATAACCCATGTAGAAAGCGCACTGTGCTGCCCTCTCCTTCCTAGATCTTCAGCCGTGTCACTGCTTCCTGATTGCTGGGGGGTGGGTAGGGGGGCGGGTAGGGCTGAGACAGGTGGCTACACTGCTGGCATGTCACCCAATACAAAAAGGGACACCCTTTAATGTAAAGTTCTTTTTTTATTGTATATGAAGTAGAAATACAGACACATTAATAAGACTAATTTCTTTTGTTTTTAAACCAAAAGAGTCTAAAAGTTGGGGTTTCTTCAGATGCACTAAAATGGACTTTCCTCCAGTAACTGCTAACCATAAAAGGCAGAATTCAAAGGACTTCCACTTTTTATTTCTGTTTAGTTTTGAGCATGTACAAGGCTGTGTAGGACCCCATTTCTCTGTATATACTATTCCAGTTCCAAATAACCCATGTAGAAAGCGCACTGTGCTGCCCTCTCCTTCCTAGATCTTCAGCCGTGTCACTGCTTCCTGATTGCTGGGGGGTGGGTAGGGGGGCGGGTAGGGGTCTGAGACAGGAGGAGAAGCTGTTGAAGTGAGGGCCGTGAATTTAGTTTGTTTGCTGTTATGTTTGGTTTGGTTTTGTATGTTTTTTTTAAACAATTGGGCAGCTCCCTTTTCCACAAGCCTTTGTGACTGTAGAACTATTGTAGAAAAAAAATGTTCTTTTCTATATATAAAAAGAAATTATCCAACGCAGTAATATTGGTACCTACCATTTTTTCACTTCTGTTTAAAAAAAAAAAATATGTATTTTTAGCAAGATAACTTGGGTAATCTTCTAAAAGAAATTAAAAAAAAAATCTCACTGTTAGTGACTTTGATGCCTTTTAAAAATAAGAGCTTTTTCATTTCATTCCATCTTTAAAATTTTTTATCTTTGTTGTAGAATATTAAAAACTATTTTAAGAAAGATAAAAATTCTCTTTAAAGAGATCTCTAGAGTGTGTGAATAGGAGCTCCAGATGCCTCTAAAAGCCGCATGTACAAATGAAGCTGAGTCTATTCCTGTCTGTTTATATTTGCTTTTCCTGTTTTGTAACCTCTTTGTACTTTGTTCATGGTGACTTGTAAGCTAAGGGGAAGGGGTGCCTAGATGCCTTTGTAATTCTCCATGTCATACGCTCCTGGCTGGATGGTCTCCCTTCCTCTCCTTGTATGTAATATCACTTTTTTTTCCCCTTTCTAGCAAGTACTTTCAAAAGAACTCTGTACATTTTAACATAAAAAATAAATTATGTTGAGCCATTTTGGATGTCAGTTGTGCGTGTGGATTTTTTTTTTTTCTTCCATTTGAGCAGTGAACTCTGTCACTGATCCTTGGTCCTGGGAATATGATTCCCTGTTGGCCTTTTGATCTGGAAGAGAGGTGGTACTTGGAATTTACTTGCGAGATCTCTGTCCGTGTTAATTTTTATCTACAGCTTCTAATCAGAGAAAGATTAAAAATAAGAAGAAAAACCAAAAACTCGAAAGCTTCTCCAGAAATCACCTTTAAATTCCTCTCTGCAAGGGCTGCCCAAAGCTTAAGCAAAGTGTGTCAGCTGTTTTTTGCCAGCTTCTCTTTGTACAATCGCTTGAGAGGTTTGACTTGTGCACTTAAAAAATTGCACTTCCAATTGCTCTCTCGTCTTTATAATTAGCGCTTTGGGTAGGAGAACTAGAAATTTTGCCCAGCAAAGTTTACTCCGCAGCTTCAAGGCAGAATGGGACCAGTCGCGAGCTTTACGGTGCTGTCCCGCTCATCCTGACACTGTGCAGAGTTCTCGGCAAGCTCACGACTTTCCAAACGCTAGATGGAAGCAAAGATCCAGCGAGCGTGCGATCGTTGCCAAAGTTTCCCCGTGACAGACGTCGTCGCAATAACCGCTAGCTCGGCCTCCCGTGGCGGTTCAAGGGCAGGCTTCCCGTCGTTTCTGGTACCCGACGATCGCGGGGGCGCCGGCCGCGCTGCAGCCTGGCAGGGGTTCCAGGGAGCGGGAGGTGGGGACGTGCGGGGAGGGGCCAAGGAATCTCCCAAAGGCTTTTCCGCAGACGTGCTGTCACAAGTATGGCTTCCAGTAAGCAAACTGTGTTTGTGTGTCATGGTAAATAAATGTAAAAGGACCTTGAGAACTAGTAAAATTGTTTGACACGCTTTTTGTATCTCCAGTCCTCACCAAGACGGAATGTAAATTTATGTAAGGTGAGGGTGATGCTGCGTCTTCCTTTAACCTGATACATTTTTCTTTGGACTCGTTATAGTTGTTTTATTGAGGCACCTGATTTTTCCTATCAAACACGTCAAGATACAGATAGAAGTTAATCGTACAGGGGCACTCCTGGGTGGTTCGTTCATTTATTCTCACAACAGTTTTTAGGTTATTCAAGCATGAAGGAGAGAGAGACAGGGTGACCTGTGATTAAGGTTTTCACTACTTTAATCACTTGTGAATTACAGCGAGTACATCCAGCAGCGTTAGAGGTAAGAGCCATCAGGATCTCAGTAGATAGGCATCCTGTGTGTTTGCATGCATGTGTATTACTTTCCCATAGTCAGTGCTGGAGTTAAGACTGAATTAAGCATTCTGTGCCAGAAAGCTGTGTTCAATTGCTCATAGCTTACTTTTAATTTTTTTTAAGTTCTTCATTAAAGGAAGCTTTGGCACTGTCCAGTAGCAGAGGTGGTGGTGGGTGCCATGCCAGCGTGCCCTGTTTTTTTCATAGTTAATTGTGGTTTGGTGTCTTTTGGGTTTTGCTTGTTATTTTCTGTATACACTGAATTTAGCGGATTTGATTTGACCATTAAAATGTCCTTGGCTTGAATTGTTACCTAACAATGATACTGTTGGAGTCAGCTTTTATTTATTACCAATTTTCAGAAACATCTCTCATTTTTAGGATACAATATGGGTTTTAAAAGTAAAATACCAATTGAGAAGAGTTGCATGTCCTCCAGCAGTTCAAAATGGCTTTGAGTTCCAGAATTAATGTGCTGAGTGATTAGGCTAGCGTATAATTCTGCTGCTTTAAATAACTCTAGAATTTGAAATGGTCATGGCAAATCACTTCCATGAAATAACAGCATACAGTTACGTTCTAGTAAAGTGCTTGTGTCACAAACTGACAAGTAGGGCAATTCAAAGTCTTTATCTGATGCCCTGGCACCAAATTATGGGTACACATGCTGATATGAAATGCTTTTCAAATAATTGTTTGAGATCTTTGCAATGCTTAATCACAAGCTGTCAAGCTAGGGGTGAGTTGGGCCAGTGCTAATAACAATTAAAATTAAACTTCTTGTGCATTTCTCAGTTCTTAAGGTAGATTAAACTATTTTAAGAAAAAGCAAATGTCTAGATAGGAACATAACGATTTATAACAACTTTATAGTTTTGTGGGCCAAG